AAGTCTTCAAGCAGTACCTGAGTGAGGCGTCGGAGGAGAGTTGGGAAAAGTATAGGGCCAAGAGAAAACAGGCGAAAGGACTAGTGAAAAAGAAGAAAAAGTGCATTTGGCACGAGGTGGTGCAGAAGGCCAACGGAGGCCTGGAGGGGAACGTCAAGCAGATGTGGGAAGGGATTAGTGGAATGGTGAAAAAGACCGCGCAAGGGGGGATACAGGGGTAGCAACTTTGCGAGGTGTGAACGGTGGAGTGGTCAGCAGTGGGAAGGGAAAAAGGGAAGTTCTAGCATGACACTACAAGAGACTTGGAGTGCCCTCGGAGAATGAAGCTTTTGACCAAGTGTTTAAGAAGGAGGTGGACGCATNAGAAGAGACATCGAAGGCAGACGTTGGGAACGTAGAACTAGAAAAGAGTTCACTGAGGACGAGATTGAGGCGTGTGTGAAGAAGCTGAAATGCCACAAAGAAGCAGGAGCGGATGGGATAGTCAACGAGTTCATGAAGTTTGGGGGGAAGGGGATGATCCAGCTGATAGTACTGCTGTGCAATTGGGTGTGGAAAAAGGGAGTATACGCCAAGTGGATGGAGGGAAGGGGTATTTGTGAACTTGTTTAAGAAAGGAGACAAGGCTGACCCAGGAAACTACAGGGGGATCACACTGTTGAACACAGTAGGAACAGTGTGTAAGCTGCTGAACGATAGGATAGTGGGAGTTGTCGTTGTTGTTGTTGTTGTTCTCACATTAGCTCTACAGTCCACAAAAATGGGGAGCCCGTGGTCTCAAAACCCGGCATATACGACGCCGCGGGGAAACAAAACAAAAAATAGTATTGGAGAAAGAACATAGCATTAGTGAGGGCCAGGCAGGTTTCCGAAAGGAGAGGGGGTGCGTAGACCACGTATTCACGGTAGGGAGAATCATCCAAGGTAGAAATAGGGCGGGAAAGCCGACGTACTGCTTATTCCTGGAGGCGAAAAAGGCATACGACACCGTATAGAGAAATGGGCTGTGGAAACACAAATACGGGATCAAGGGGAAAATGTGGAGAGCGCTGAAGACGATGACAGAGTGTACGAAAAGCGCGGTCATGTTATAGTGCCGGCATTCGTCAGGCCGAATACGGGTGCTGTGAAAAAAAAATAACCTTCATCAACGATTTGAGCGGAACCAAAATATTCGTGAGAAAGCTCTCATCAGCAGCGATCGAATAAGCCCATTCACAGCGCGGGGTTTGGGCTTTCAAGAAAGATATGCCCCCATTACCATCATAGCAGAAGGCACTTCATCCCACAAGAATCGCCATATCTCAACAACTACGGCAAACCCCGCGAAAAAAAATGTAGATTCGAAAAGCTCTCTTTCAGAACTATTTTACTGCGGCGGAATCATCCCCGAGCTAGTTGATGAAGAACTTAAAAAAAAATCAGAACCAACATTTACAATTTTTTCGCCCACATCAGCCCCAACGGCTGCCACACATGAAGAGGTCGCGGTCCACGCCCATGGCTCTTAAGCTGCGCGACAAGTCCCTGGCGACCACACTGGCAACCTTGGCTCATCGTGGTGGTAAGCTGGTGAGTGTGCATCAGCACAAGGCTCCGAAGAAGTTCTGCAGGACGGTGGCCAACTTCAACAAGGTGTACCGCGACGGACTCCAGGGCGCGGAAGCAGTACAGAAGAGGGACACCTTTAAGTCTCACCGCAAGCCGGCTCCGTCAGAGTACAATAACCCTAAGTAATGTACACGTTTATTCTATGTTGTGTGGTGTTGAAGCGTACGTACGTAATATGTCGACATGGTTGTGTCAATAGGTTATTATCTGTCTGCGTGTTGTTGTCAGTGGCGTTGTTGCAGTGCATGGGGTATTGTTTTGTTCCCCCTTTTCGTTGGCGGATTCTCTGTGTGCTACAGTATGTATGGCCGTGCGTATAATGTTCAGTAATGGCAAAAATGAAGAGTGCAACGTGCGTGGGTATCGTGGGGCCATTGTACAAAAGGGCCTCCAGTCGATTGAAGTAATCACACATACATGGAAACAAGCCGGTGCGCATGGGCCACATTTCCTGTCCCGCCCCAGGAAGGCGCCATATATACACATATCATTTTATTTTTTTTCATGAGTATCTTCGTTCTTCTCTACTCAAGCCCCGCCGATACAAAGCAAAAAAAAGAGATGCGGGATGTTTTGAGTTCGTGGTTGCCGAAACATTAGACAAAGAGTAATCATCCCCCCCCCAGAAATGCCTCGAAAATCCTATACGAAAACCATGAAATTCCAGGAACGCCTCAAATCGATTTGGTCCCTGAACAACTCTTGTGGCAAATAGGATGCAGATTACTACTAAAAACAAAAAAGTGAAAAAAGTGAAAAGNTGAAGGGCCCATCGTGTGCTACTAGTGTCTTCGTTTCACACACACTTTGAGCGGATTAGGTGGTCGAAACGTGCTACGTGTCCGTTTTGTGGCCAAAGTAGATCTTAGCTCGCGCATTTGGCTACCCGGACGCAGACCTAGGTCCCCAGCGACGCGCGCATGATGTATAGAGGAATTATAACCCCCCCCCACCCCGCCAGTAGAACATAGATGGAAGTGGGATCGAGGAGATTGCAGTAGTGGACCAGTACACATACCTGGAAGTAGAGATCGCAAAAGACTGTTCGTGGAATGCACTCATGTCGAAGGCAGCGGAAAAGGGCAAAGCACGAGCAGGGAAGCTGCACCCAATACTCGCAAACCGGCACCTCGATACACGCATCAAATTGACGGTTTTGAAGAGCGTAATCGTACCGCCGCTAGAGTACGCCGGAGAAGTATGGGAAGGAAATAAGAAGGTAGTGAAAGAACTCGAGGCGGCGCAGATGAAAGCAGCGAAAATCATCCTAGGATGCTTCAAGCGCACAAGTAATGCAGCCGTGAGGGCAGAATTGGGGATTTAATCCCTACGGTCCGGAAGAGACGCGAGCAAGCTGACCTGGCAGTATCGCATGTGCGGGATGGGAGAGGAGAGGTTGCCGAGAATTGTATGGGAGGCGAAGTGGGCAAACAAAAAGAGGGGTAGACAACCCACGGAATGGGTCAAGGTTGTAGAGGACGTATGGAAGGGGCTCGACATCGGCGAAGATGAAACGCTGGAAACGGAGGGTCTACAGGGGTTCAAGGAGAAGATATCTGTTGCTTGTGCCGAGAGAGAAGAACAGAATCTGAGGAAAGAATCCAAGGATAAGGAGGGTCTAGAAGTGTACGGAATGTTGAAGGAAGGAATAGGGTTCAAGGACTACCTACATGGACCAATGGATGCAGGAACAAAGCTTAAGGTCAAATTCAGGACCGGGGACAGAGGCCTTCGAGAACGTCGACGAAGACATCGGACGGTAGACGACGAAGACGACGAGTTCAAATGTGATTGCGGCTTCGAATGCGAAGACCTTGTTAATGTAGTCGCGGAATGTCCGTGGTACAAGAAGGAGAGGGAAGCGTACGTGACTGAGCTGGGAAAAATAGATGGGACGTACAGGGAGATGATTGAGGCATGGAATAGAGAGGAAAGGACGGTAGCTGTAGTGGGGAATAGGAGGTGGGTTGAAAAGGCGGGAAAGGATATCGTTAGGATACAGACTAGGGAAGACATTTTTGGGCCACCTTTGGCAAAGTAGAAAGGAACGATTGGCCATCGGTGATCGGTCCTGTGGGAACAATGCTCCCTCCTGTCGAGGACGTGTGGTCAATGGTCTCACCGCTAAGGCATGCAAAAGATAAGAGTACGCTCCCCCCACCCCCCCCTCCAAATGACCCCGATTGTCGATTAGTAGGGGCTATGTGTCTTGAAATTTTCTTCAGTTTACCCTCGGGTGTAGAGCTCTATTTTCAGCAGAAGCCTTCCTCTATTTGCAGCGAGAACAAGAGGCTTTGTGGGTTTGCTGTGGCATGATCAACACGTCAGGCGTTTAGATAATGCTGCAGGTTGTGGCGTTAACAACGAATGATCGAAGCAGCTCACGAGAAGGCACCACGCGCGTTTGGTTGGAAACTGCTTTCCCCTTCCCCCGCAGCGAGCGACTAATGCGGCAAGCAACTAGCGTCAGCCGTGACACACTGCTGTCGCTGGGCACGTGCTTCGGAAAGTTCACCAAGTCGGGAAAGTTTCGCCTGCACATCACGGCTCTCGACTATATCTCGCAGTATGCCAAGGTACGAAATGAAGACGTTGTGTCGTTGCTCGCCCTGTCGTACAGCAGTATCAGCGCACAGCAGGTGCCAACCTTTACGTTTGTGCCCGACAAGCCAGTTCCACACCAGTTATTGTAGCAGTTCTTCGTAGATATCAAATACCCTCTTTCATGCCAAACCTGGGCTTTCACTTTATGGACATGTGGAACATCGAGAACGTTTGTCCGGTAGACATTTGTATCGAGCACAGCGCTATCTGTGGTAGACTTGCTGTTCGTCGAATACGTGACCCGCATGAATGACAGTTCTGCTCGAACATGCGGGAAGGCAAGCAGTGATGTCGCTCCATTTTAGCGCACGCATTGGCACGAAGTTCTCAAATCTAGCTACACATGTGGTACAGTTGGCCTGGATGAAAATGGAGGCGACCCGCTCGCCGTGTTACTTGCGACCCGTCCATGTCATTTCGTGCCGTCATTGCCCTCACGTATGTACATGCAAGCATGAGCATTTTGGTTGGTCTCTCCCTCTCCACCTCGCAACCCGTGCTGATGAACGCCTCACTGATTGCCTCCCACCACCTTCCGTTTCGTCCCGCCTCCCTTGTACGCCCGGCACGGCAAACACGCCAATGTCCCCTGCAGTACAAAGTGTGGGTAAAACCGAGCGCCGAGATGTCCTTCTTGTACGGCAACCACGTGCAGAAGTCCGGGTTGGGCCGAATAACAGAAAACACCCCCAAGTACGGGGGCGCCGTGGTGTACAGCATGAGCGACGTCCCTTTGGGTTTCGGCGTGGCGGCCCAGCCGACCGAGTTCTGCAAGGACCTCGACCCCACCGCCGTCGTCGTGCTACACCAAGCGGATGTAGGAGAGTACTTGCGAGTGGAGGACGATCTCCTATAGACGATGTACAGCAGTCGGGGGCCGGCCGGTTGAACAGTGCCAACCAATACCCTGTACAACAGTAGTGCCGGTAAAAAAAAAACTGCACAATCAACCCGCAGTTTTGCCGGTACCGGCACTTGTCCGGGATGCTGGGGATAAGTGCAGGTTCGGGCTCGGCATGAGTCTCTTTTGTCTCCGTCACGACCACACGTACCTCTGAACACACATCAGTTCCGAGAGGGTTTGAACGAGGGAGTGAACTGGGAGGAGCTGGGGGAGGCCGAGGGTGGTGAGGGCACGAGGCCAGGGGGGCATGCTTCCCTTTCCTACGCTGAACTTTCGCCGCATTTTGGTGTCCTAAAGAAGGCAGCGGCGGAAAGGGGCAATGGACAGGCCGGACTCTCCCTGGAAAAAGCCAGGATGGCAATCGATTATCGTAGCGCATCCCGCGAAGCCAGTGCGACAGGCAGATTGGAAGGCAATTGTTGATGAGGGGTGCATGGAAACCGTGTAGTACTGATGGATTCCCCAGTGCTGACGTACTGCAGGGTGTGTTGCCCCAATCCGCACGGCGTCTGGTCTGATTCATAGCTACGTCGGACTGTTGTTGGTGGAAGTGTGTTTGGAGTGTGTGTTTGGTTGGTGTTGGTCTTACCCGTGATGGATTGAAGGAGGAGCAGAGATTGAGGGGCACGTGCGCTGTCCGTGTTGCTACTCTTGTGTACTATACTGGTGTTGCCTTCAAGGGTTCGTGTGCGTCTTGGTTGTGTTGTCCGGGTGTTTTTCTGACACACCGCAGTAACCTGCAAGAATTTCGTTGCCTGGTCGACATGCTTCATGCTGTTCTGCTCTAGTACCGGCGAGGCAACGATATTAATTTCACCGCGAAAATGGACACAGCGCTGTGCCATCAAGTGTCGGGTGTCGAGTGCGGTTGAATGCCGTTGAATGCGGCAAACACCACATGAACGCGCGATACAGAAGGTAGCGGACACTAAATTGTGTTTGATTAACCATATTCAACATATGCGTCCGGCGAAACTACCATGATGTTGACGAGGAGCGTTCCCGTCACCGCACCAACCTTCGCCATCGCGCAAGGCACTCAACAAAATTGACAGTGCATTTCCGTAGGAGCGATGGCAGGCAATATCGAGTGAGGGATCCGAACCATCTTGCCGGTTCTCGCACTGCAAAATACCACTCACAATTGCAGCGCCGGTGTCTTTTAATTAAGTTAATTTGTCGCGGTAGAGGTGTTGACCCCCCTGGGCCCCAAAATGAAAAACAGGCGGCGTGGAATTGAGTGAAACCGGGGGGAGGGTGCATATGTGTGTCTTGGACTCAGCAGGTTACAATAAGACACAGACATGAGTTGAGCGATTTTCCGGAGACCTCAACGACTTGCGCCCACTCTGGGATAAAAGCGCGTACCAATCGCACCGCAAGCATTATTCAGCCGACGGATGCCGAATGCAATGCCCTGACCTCCAACCTCGCTACATGCCGTGGCGCAGAGGTAAAACAAACTTGTTCTTATCAGTGGGTGTTTTCTGTTTTCAGAGCTCTCACGTAGAGTTCCTACCTGCGGGCACCGAGCACACAAGCAGGAAAAAACGAAGTAACCGACACGAGTCGCTCCGGAAAACAACCGGATTTCGCAACCTCGCAAAAGGAAGCGTCTAAAATGATCGGGCCTGTCAGCGGGCCACCAACAGACACATAAATTTTGTTACGGGAAGCGCAAGCACATCATATTTACACCCCAGCGATACAGACTAACCGTCGCGTTTCTGTCCAAGCGCTCAGGTAGTCACTCCAAAATACCATTAAATCACAGAGGCACTACATGCATGCGCGGGTTGTACACTGCGCAGAGCCAAGCCTCACCTGTGGCCAAAGACAAACTTACGTGAAGTACGAACAAAGAAACACTCGATCCTCGGTGAATTCGAAGCAAATAGTCTACATATCAAAACACTTAACACCTGACTGTACAGAGACAACTATCTTCGGGCAACAGCGAGGAGGAACGGGGGAGGAACCTTAATTTCTTGCGCATGCACATTGGTACCTCCCGCCGCGCAAAACGGCGCACGTTCCGAAGGGCTCTGGAGTTGACATGTGGCAAACTGTCCACGATTGGACTTAACTCTCTATCAAAACTCGAGATGGGCGGCGTATCAAATTATCTTCTGCCGCGGCCCTACTCGATTAAAATTACGCTTGCCTAACATCTATTCTTGGGGAACCCGACGGACTCTCGTCGTCGAAGAACGCGATCCACTCGCTCAGGCCTTGTCAGAAAGCCCGTGGAGAAGCTGCGCCAGTTCGCGGCAACAAGCGCTGCTGGGCAGCGACAGCTTCATCAGCAAGCCCCCGACCGCCACCTCCTCCGCCTCCAGCGTGGATACTACTACTGCGGTCCTACGGCCAGGGCCTCCGGCGGCGGCAGCAGCAGCATCAGCAGCATCAGCGGCAGCTGCTGCTGCTGCCCTTTCGGGGGGGGTTACAGGACGAGCACGAGTTCGGGGAGAAGAAGCACCGGGTACAGTTACCGCCGCCGAAGCAACGCGCGCAGCCGCCAAAGGGCTGGTGGCGCTCTTCGGGCGGCGATAACCCCTGGCGTTGAGGATGAGCTCTGCCGGGGCGTGTTCGGCGCTCTGCTCGACGAGGGTAATGTCCTGGTGGTCGATCTGTTTCCACAGCGTCTCGCAGCCGCTGCCTCCCCGGTACAGGAAGACAGCCTGAGTTGGGGTTTGTAATAGGAGGAGGGGGGGGGTGTTCTCAAAGTCGTGCATGCCGTAGTCGTTAGACCATGGACCTCGCATCCCTACAAAGCCGAGACGGAGCACGTCGGGTTCTTACCAGGCCAGGCTCTCACATCACCAAGCGCGAAGCGCCGTGAGGTATTCGGCGAGTCGCATGAAGGTTGCGCTGCATCCTGCTAAGGGTGTTCGGCATCTTGTGCTTACTTCCTTGCGTATGGATGACAGCTGCGTATGACTTAATTTATTTTCTGGTGCTTTCACTTCCAGAGGCAGTTGTAAGGGCTGTGTAACTGCCTCGAGGGTGCTTGCCCAATTTAACACAACGTGGTGCGATCATCCCCTTTGCGTGGAGTGAGGGTTCTCGACCACCATTATGGTTACCGCCAAAAAAAAAAAACAGAGGTAAAAAAGAAGCGGTTACCTGGTTGTCAAGCTCACGTGATCGGCTTGTTTTAAAAACTTCGCTGCCAAGCGACGAGAACCCAACCCCGATGGCAAACACCGAGGTGTTTGAGGGGGG